CAGACGCCCCACTCCACCATCACCCCGTCTACACAGACGCCCAGCGTCCTTCACACAACACACGCACCCCCACTCCACCATCACTCCCGTCTGCACAGACGCTCAAGCCTCGTTACAGCACACGCACCCCCACTCCACCATCACCCCCATCTACACAGATGCCCCCACTCCACCATCACTCCCGTCTACACACACACCCAGTCCCCCTCATATACAGAGCACACATATCCCTACTCCACCATCACCCCGTCTACACCATCGCTCTTCTCTATGCAGATACCCATTGTATGTTAGGCAAACAAAGCACTTGCCTCATTTTCGTGAATGCCAATGCCATGTCACTCACACGTACAAATAACGACCACCCTGTCTACACCATTACCCTCATCTGCAAAGGTGCCCATCCCACCCCCCTCACTTTCATACACATCACCACCCAGTCTACACCGTCACTCTCCTGTGAGTAGGCACTCATACCCCAGGCCCTGGCCCTCCTGACTCGCATGCATGAGAGGGATAGCAGCATCCTCCTGTTGCCCACACAAGGCATCCTAAGGGTTCTGCAGAGGTCTGGGCGCTCAGAGATCTCACAAACCTTGGCCACCCCCTCTGCGAGACCTGTGGCTTGGACATGGGGCCGCCCGAGGTGCAGCAGTAGACGGTGGGGCACGTGTGAGGGGGCCTTTCATGCACTGTGTCCCCTGTGACCCGCCTTCCAGGAAAAACCACGCTGATTAAGGCCCTGACAGACGACGATGCTGTCCAGCCCCGGGATCAGCTGTTTGCGACACTGGACGTCACAGCCCATGCTGGGTGGCTGCCCTCCCGCATGGCTGTCATTTACATGGACACCATCGGCTTCCTCTCCCAGCTGCCCCACAGCCTGATTGAGTCCTTCTCCGCTACCTTGGAAGATGTGGCTCATTCAGTGAGTGTGCAATGATCCCAGGGGCTGAGTTACTGAAATCACCCAAATAACGTGGGACTGGTTCCCCTGAGACACAACACAACCCTGGGGACCATATCCCCTCACACAGGAAACAAGCTGGGGACTGGGTCCCCTCATTCATGACACAGCCCTGGGGACCAGGTCTTCTCATAGCTGATACAACATGGGGACCAGGCTCCCTCACACATGACACAGCCCTGGGGATCGGGTCCCCTCACACGTGACAACCCAGGGCCCGGGCCCCCTCACACGCGACACAACCCGGGGGCCGGGCGCCCTCACACGTGACACATCCCGGGGGCTGGGCCCCCTCACACGCGACACAACCCGGGCCCGGGCCCCCTCACACGCGACACAACCCGGGGGCCGGGCCCCCTCACACGCGACACAACCCGGGGGCTGGGCCCCCTCACACGCGACACAACCCGGGCCCCGGGCGCCCTCACACGCGACACAACCCGGGGGCCGGGCCCCCTCACACGCGACACAACCCGGGGGCCGGGCCCCCTCACACGCGACACAACCCGGGCCCGGGCGCCCTCACACACGACACAACCCGGGCCTGGGCGCCCTCACACGCGACACAACCCGAGGACTGGATCCCCTCCTTCACAATGTAACCCCAGGAACCAGGTTCCCTCACACGATACAGCCCGAGGACCGGGTCCCCTCACATACAGTACAACATGGGGGCCGGATGCCATCATACATGACACAGCGCTGTGGCCTGGGTTACCCTCATACACAACACAACCCGGAGGCCAGGTCTCCTCATACACGACACAACCCTGGGGACTCCCACTGCACCCCCTCAGGAAGCTGGCGCCCTAACTTAACGGAAGCAAGCCCTGCCTAGTGACCTCTTCCAAGACTAATTCCAGAAGGAGGGGGAGCCGCTCTGCGGGGAGACCTGTGACAGCTGCCCCTTGGCCCTCAGGTCAGCCTTTGTGTGCAGCTTTGGGGTGAGGTGATTCAAGGGCACGTTCTCTTGGGGCTTCCACCCAAACCCCAAACCTAGCGTCAACACGAGGAAACAACCAGACAAACCCCAACTGAAGGGCGTCCCACAAATGCCCACACAGTGCTCAACACGCTCCGGGTTCAGAGGGGCCAAGGAGAGGTGACAGACGAATGTAACACGTGTCGTGGATGGTGTCCCAGGACGGAAAGGAAGAGCCGGGCGACTCTAGAAAGACCAGGAACGTAGTCAGAAGAGCACGCTGCCTCACTGTCCACATTTCCCAAAACTGAAATGTTTCTCGGATAAAATGCTTATCTTCTTCTTAATTTTAAGTGCATCTAAAACCTGGAAGCGAATATCCTGGAATGTAAATGGTCTCTCTGTTTCCGGGGTCAGAACCACAGGCAGTTCTTACTCTTTTTCTGTTCTGCGTTTTCCCAGTTCTGCGTCAGACCCCTACCTGGAAACCATTTAAAATCAGGCAAAAATGATTCTTTAAAATTCGAAGTAACTCAGACTCTGAAAGTTTCACAGTGAGCATGCAGGTGTGTGTGGGTCTGAGACGTGGGAGATGCCCAAGGCCCTGGGTTAGGGTTAGGGGAGTGGCCTGGCCAGGGCGAGACCCCGCGCAAGGGGCACCGGGTGAGCCACAGGCCCGCTCTGGTCTCAGGGAGGTCCCACCCCCAGGTCCCACGCACCTCACCGGCACTACAGACTGCACAAGACGCTGCCCCACTCCCACCTGGGCACGCGGTGCCCGTCAGAGCCCCCATCTGGGCACGTCCTCCTCTGGGGGGGGGTTGAGGACCAGTGTCCCGTCCCATCCCTGTCCCCACCACGTGGCTGGTCTGTTCCTCAGGATCTGATCGTCCACGTGAGAGACGTGAGCCACCCTGAGACGGAGCTGCAGAAAGCCAGCGTTCTGTCCACCCTGCGCGGCCTACACCTGCCCGCCCCGCTCCTGGACTCCGTGCTGGAAGTTCATAACAAGGTGGACCTGGTGCCCGGGTGAGTGGACCCCCGCCCACCCACTGCCCCACGACCCTGGAGCCTCGCTTCTGGCGAGTACCGGTGATGGGCCTGTGTGACGGGGGCCTCGACGTGGCTGATGACAGAGCAGGCTGCTGTCATGCAGGCGCTGGAGGCAGCTTCCCGTGGCGCGTCCTCCCGTGGCGCGTCCTCCCCTGCTTTCAGGAAGAAAAGGGAGGTAGCGCGCCCTTCCCCCACCTGCCTGCTGTGAAGGGCCGGAACTCGCAAGAATCAGCAGGCCACCAAGCAGCGTATTTCGGGGTGGTGTGTTCTGAGCCCCCCGCCCGCACAGACCCCGTATCTCACTACGTCCTCATCATGGTTTCCTCTGTGTTCCTGTCCGACGGGGCCGCGTCCTCTCCTGACACACACGGAGGGGGTCACGGTGGGGGCCCGTGGGCGGGGGCCCCTGGAGGACCCTCGCTCCGTCTTCCCGAGGCTGAGCAGGGTCTGCTGGCTGTCCCCCCACAGGTGTAGCCCGGCGGGACCACAGGCTGTCGCCGTGTCCGCTCTCCTGGGGCACGGGCTCCCGGAGCTGAGAGCCCGGCTGGAAGACGCCGTTCTGAGAGCCACGGGAAGACAGGTCCTCACCCTCCGGGTCCGGCTGGCGGGCACGCAGCTGAGGTGTGTGGGGCTGGCCCGGGGGGGGGGCCGTGGCCTGCGGTGGCCGAGCAGGGTGTGGAGGTGTGGGAAAGGCGCGGAACAGGCAAGGCGCCAGCACACAGACGTGCCGCGTTGTTTCTGGGTTGCCGTGAACGTGGGTTAATCACCCCACGTGCGGGCGCTGGCTGGCTGTTGGCGTGCCAGGCGTTCCCGGGCCGTGGGCAGTGACGACAAGGTCGTGTGCGGGCTCGGGGACAGAGCTCCCTGGGGGAAGCAGTTCCTGCGAACACGTTCTCACGTCCTCAGCTGGCTGCATCGGGAGGCCACGGTGCAGGAGGTGGACGTGATTCCCGAGGCCGGCGTGGCTGACGTCAGGGTCGTCATCAGCAGCTCCGCCTACGGCAAGTTCAGGAAGCTCTTCCCCGAGTGAGTGGACACTGTGTGGGTTCAGCCGTCCACTGAAGCGGCCGCCGTCCCCTCCGTGGCTGCTCAGGGTGGAAGGGCTGGTGGCTGCCTGCTGTGGCTGGAAGTCAAAGCTCAGCTTGCAGGTGGACTGAGCGGTTCTGGTTCCTGGGGGATCGAGCATGCTTCGTGAGAGCTGGCGTCCCTCCCACAGCGTTTCGGCTACAAGATATTCAAAGCTCTGCTCATGTTTGTAGACCAGTCTTCCTGCTGCTTCCGTGTGTGGGCCGCCCTGCGGAGGTCCTGCCCGTGGTGGCCGTGAGAGGGCCAGTTGGGGTTTCCCCATCTGCTGTGTGTCACAGACTCACAGCTGCTCCCCACGGAGCGTCCTGGACATTGTGACAGTCTCCCGGCCACCCAGAAGTCTCTCTGCACGGGTCGAGGAGAAAACATGGTGCGTCACTGAATCAGCACAAAGCCGGGATGCTCCACGCTCACAGGCAGCCGGCTCCGACGAGGGAGAGACAGGAGGGACCTCGCCTTCCCCACGGCCTGTCACGGACCTGGGCTGTCTTCACCGCAGGTCCCAGGACACACACCCTGCGGCGCAGAACTGGACGCCAGTCCCTCCGCTTTTAGAGACATTCGTACACGTCTGAGCGTGGCGCCGTTGCCCCTTCTCTGGAGGGAACGCTGACGTGAGAGGCCTCTCTGTTGTCACCCTGGGAAATGCTTCACTTCGTTTTCCCCCTTCGAAGTGTGTTCACCCTTACAGCAGTGTTTTGTGAGTGATTCCAGATTTCAGCATTCAGGGATTAAAAATAAAAAAAAAAATCTGTAGCCTGCCTCAGGGCATGCAGGGGGGTGTGTCTTTCCTGAAGACGGGAGAGCCTTCTCCTTACTCGAGTCCTGAGATGTGAGGACAGAGCAGAGGCTGAGTCGGGGAAACTGAGGTCCCCGCGGTGCTGGTGTGGAAGAATGAGGAGGAGCCGGGATCGAGGAAAGCAGGGAGCACGGGAGCCGGGTTCTCGCCAGAAGGACCCAGCCCCTGACCTTGGCCCAGTCAGACCCACGTCAGCGCCCTGGCTTCCAGAACCGTTTCGAGAATAAATCCCTGTGCTCTGAAGCCCCCACATGTGATCATCTGTCCCAGCGGCCCTGGGACACTCAGGCGCAGGGTCCTGGGGTATCGGTGGACAGGACTGGACGACATCGCCCCGCGAGCTGGCTGTGTGCTGGGACAGCCTCACCCACTCCTCCCACAGGGGCCCCGAGGGCTGAGTGTGGAGCTGATACGAGGTCCTCTGCACTGTCGGGCCCACACAGTGGACACGGATGGCGCAAGTTCCCCCAGCACCGTCCAGGCTGGCTCAGCGGCTCAGTGGACTGGAGGTGCGAGGCCCCCCAGCCCCATCCAGGCCAGCTCAGTGGACTGGGGGTGCCCGAGGTCCCCCAGCACCGTCCAGGCCGGCTCAGTGGACTGGGGGACGTGAGGTCCCCCAGCCCCATCCGGGCCAGCTCAGGGGACTGGGGGGCGCGAGATCCCACGCAGCACCGTCCGGGCCGGCTCAGTGGACTGGGGGGCACGAGGTCCCCCAGCACCGTCCGGGCCGGCTCAGTGGACGGGGGGTGCGAGGTCCCCCAGCCCCGTCCGGGCCGGCTCAGTGGACTGGGGGGCGCGAGGTCCCCCAGCCCCGTCCAGGCCGGCTCAGTGGCCGGGGCAGGCGTGAAGTCCCGCAGCACTGTCCCAGTCGGCCCAGTGGCCGGGGCGGGCTGCAGGACGGCCCAGGTGTGGCTGGAGCGTCAGGACACCTGCTGCCTCTGGGAAGGCTGATCAGTCCAGGAGACCCACCAGGCTTTCTGCTTCACTCAGCTCAGCCCCTGGGGGATTTACTCCTACGGGGTCTCCGAACAGACCCCAGGGGGCAGGGAAGCATCCTGCATGGGCCGCCCCAACCCCTGAGGCCCAGCCCAGTCCACATGCCCCTGGGTGTGTGCTCCACTCTGCCCTGAGCCCCCTCGGCCATGCTCTGCCCGGTCCCTACGCCAGGGGCACATACATCTCCCCAGACCCCCTCTCTGGGCTCTGACCGCTCCACCCCAATTCCTCCCTGTGCAGGAGACACAAGGAAGGGGTGGGCATGGGTCAGGCCTCTGGTCCCTCACTCTCCTTCTGGCACCCCCCCTTCCCCCTGCCGCCTGGTATCCCCACCCCGTCCCAAAGGCCCCACCCCAAGGCTTGGAGACTGCAGGGTCCTGACATCTGCTGTGGATGCTTATCACAGTGGGGTCTTGCTGAGGAGGTGGCTGGGGGTTCCAGGGGGCCTGCAACAGAGGGTTGGGGGCCTCGGGGGGCCTGGGAGGGAGAGTCAGGGGTTTCCGGGGCCTGGGAGGGAGAGTCAGGGGGCTTCTGGGTCCTAGGAGGGAGGGCCACAGGTTTCGGGGGCCACACAGAGAGGGTATCGAGCTTCCCATTGGGGGGAACAGGTACAAGACCGCCCCCCACCCCGCTCCCCCTGCCAGCACCCAGGTTTCCCCAAGACCCCTCTGTCTGCAGAGGGGCTTCTCCCCTCCCAACTGCGGGGCCCACCGTGCCCAGAGGAGCCGGGCCCTGAGAACAAAGCCACGTGCTGGGAGGGCGGCAGTCGCTGCAGGAAGGGAGCCCACCCAGACCCCCGCAGTGCCCCCACCCCAGATCTGATGTGGAACCAAATATGGGCTTGACCCAGAGCCGCCATCACGAGATAGTCGTTCACCCAGCCGACCACGCACACTGCCGGGCGCTGTGAAGAGCTGAACCACACCGCCGCCTCCTCTGAGGGCTGGCCGTCCACACCTTCAGCCACGGCGTTGTCTGCCAGGCAGATCCCTCAGAGAGCTCACCCCTCGGATACAAGTCTCATCTTTAAAATTAACTACACGGGGCCAGGGGGACACCTGGCTGGTCCAGTCGGTGGACCTCGGGGTTGTAGGTTTGAGCCTCACCTTGGGTGTAGAGTTAACTTGAAAGTAAAATCTTCAGGGCGCCTGGCTGGCTCAGTCGGTTAACCGTCTGCCTTCGGGTCAGGTCATGGTCCCAGGGTCCTGGGATCGAGCCCCGCATCGGGCTCCCTGCTCCACGGGAAGCCTGCTTCTCCCTCTCCCACTTCCCCCTGCTTGTGCTCACTCTCTCTCTCTGTCAAAAATAAAATCTTAAAAAAAAAATTTAATTAAAAAAAAAAGGTAAAGGGGCGCCTGGGTGGCTCAGTCTTTAAGTGTCTGCCTTCGGCTCGGGTCATGATCCCGGAGTCCTGGGATCGAGCCCCACATCGGGCTCCCTGCTCGGCAGGAAGCCTGCTTCTCCCTCTCCCACTCCCCCTGCTTGTGTTCCCTCTCTCGCTGTCTCTCTCTGTCAAATAAATAAATAAAATCTTTAAAAAAAAAAAAAAAGGTAAAATCTTCAAAAAAAATGAAATGAACTGTGTAATCTTTCCTTCATGTCTGCACTGAGGAACTTAAAATACCACAGAACTCAAAAGTTGCATCCAGGGGCACCTGGGTGGCTCAATCGGTGAAGCATCTGCCTTCAGTTCCGGTCGTGATCTCGGGGTCCTGGGATCGAGCCCTGCGTCAGTTTTCCCGCTTAGCGGGGAGTCTGCTTCTCCCTCTGCCTCTGCCCCCCATTCGTGCTCACACTCTCTCTTTCTCCCAAATAAATAAAATGTTAAAAAATTTTTTTCATCCAGTTTTTTTGTTTGTTTGTTTTTTAAGATTTATTTTTTTTATTTGACACAGAGAGACACAGTGAGAGAGGGAACAAGAGCAGGGGGAGTGGGAGAGGGAGAAGCAGGCTTCCCGCCGAGCAGGGAGTCTGATGTGGGGCTCGATCCCAGCACCCTGGGATCATGACCTGAGCCGAAGGCAGACGCTTAACGACTGAGCCACCCAGGCGCCCTCATCCACTGTTTTAATTTCCAAAGCAACAATAAACTGTGGCCCAGCACTATTTCTGAACAAAGCTCTCCGTGACCTGCAGAACATGCTCGGTGAACATCATGCTTGTACAGACCCTCCCATGCGTTGCCCAGATGGTTTGGTCGCTTGAATGACAGAAACAAAAATGCACAAACACGTCCGACTTTGTCGATCGTCCTCTGGGATTAAACGATCACGTGGACCGTTCCTGACACAAAGACAAGGTACTCGTGGAACAGACACAGACACGGTGGTCCTTGTGTTATAGCATCATTTTCAAGACTATATCCTAAGAAGACCTAATGTCTAAGGGCTGTTCCATTGTAGGAGGAATATTCCAGAACACGAGATACACAGAAACTCCTGGATCCCCTGTTAAGGTGGGAAGAAAAATAAGACAGTGTAATTGGCATTCACCTTTTGGCCAAGAATTGGAAACCACCAGCTCCATAACCCTCATGTGCAAAAGGAGGGACTTCTGACCTTTGGGGTCATGAAGTTGGAACCCTGAGTACCGGGAAGCAGAGCTAAGGCCTCTAGCACGATGCCCGGCCGCCCATGGGGGGGCGTCTCGTCCAGACCCCCGGGGTTTTAACTCATGGAGGTGGCTGAGGCCAACCACCGAAAGAAGAATTTAATGATTCCCGTCTCCCCACACAGGGGCGGGTGCCCCCTGAGGCCACGAGGAAAACCCCTTTTGGGGCGTGAGGGTTTCCACGGGAAAGGCAAGGCGGGAGAGAGCACTCGGGGCAGTTGTCCAGCGTGAGTAGTGGTGGCGGGCTCTGGGTGACAGGCCCCCGCCCCGGGAGACTGGGGTAGCGGGAAATCAGGCGCAGCTCGCCTCTCGGCGCTTCCCAGACACCGTGTGTCTTACAAATGGAAGGCTGGCCAAGGCTGCGGGCGCCATTCTTCCCACAGTATCTGCTCACTTCCAGTCTCTGCATCCCATTCTGGTAATTGCGGTTCCAGCTCTTCTTTATGAGTCTATTTGTTGTGGTTATCTGTGGCCAGTCGTTATGACTCCGACAACTCAGATGGTTAGCATTTTTAAGCAATAACGTATGTTTTAATTAAGGCACGTACACACTTTAGGTGTCATACAATTGCACGCTTAATAGACGGTAGTGTAAACATAACGTTCATGTGCACGGAAAACCAAAAAACTCATTTGACTCGCTTTACTGCGATCTTGCTGGAACCAAACCCACCCTGTGTCCGAGGAGCGCGAGAATCGGTTCAGCCCGTGAGCTCCGGAGCGCACCCAAGTCAGTGTGGCGTGTGAGCGTTGGAGGAGGGGGCGCTGCATTTCCACAGAAGACGCGTGCTCCCAAGTACGTTGTTTCTGTCTGTGGGAATCAGCTAGCCCTGAGAGGGGCGGTCTCACCGTTCTGGTCCCCAGACGCCAGAGCATGAGGACACAGAAAAGAAGAAAATACAGTTAACGTCTTTGGTGCTGTGAGAAATGGGTGGCAAATAGATACAGATGGACGGACCCTAAGAAATCGTGGAATGGCGATATGGGAAAAGTGAGAAATGCCCAGTGTGGCCTTGGGAGAAGGGACCAGTGACAGGCGGCCAAAACCACAGACCATCGGCTTCATTTTGGAGATGCTTGAAGGCAGCCTCCCAGCGGGGCTGACGTGCCGAGCAGAGGAAGGGGATGGGAGGAGCACAGACTTGCCACTCCAGGGGAGGGGTGTGAGGACGAGGATGCCACAGCAGCCCCCGGCGTGGGCGTGGAGCTGCCCGTCACACCTGTGTCCACACACCTCCTTGAAGAGAGCGCTACACGAGGCCTCTGGAGGTGGAAGGGAGCATGTGTACAACACCACTCGCCATCAAACAGCCCCTAAGGGTCCTTCAGTTACCATCAGAGAAGCCAAAGTGAAACCAGCCCCACAGGGCCCATGGTCCTCGGGGAAAACACACGGGCCGTGATGCCGTCAGAATTAGAAGGAGGTTTTCCCCATTTTCGTGGTTTTCTCAGCGTGGTGCACCCACTCCTACCCAACAGACACGGTATGATGGGCTTCACATGGCTCCAGGAAGCCATCAGGACGTCATCCTGCTGCCCTCAAGGCCCCACGGGAAGGGACGACCCACGGCAACCACGGCACAGCTGGGGCTGAACCTACAGGAGCAGACCCCAGGTTCCGGGTCGTTCTTCCTCTCAGGATGCAAGCACATACCACCGTTGATCATCAGCGTGTTCTGCGATCCACCCCAGCAACACGGAAGAACTGTGAGGCCGGGTGCCACCAACGAGGCTGCCCTGATGTCAGGGGGAGGCAGGGACCCCGCCCCAGACCCACTCTTCCCGCCCGCACTCCACGTGAGCTGCAAAAGGGACACGTGAGCATCTCAGCAGCTTCTCGTTGAGTCTTATGACATCACCCACAAACGTGTCTGCACCGATGAAGTCGCCCGCGATGATGTTGGTGCACCGTGCGCCTGGCCCAGGGCACTGCTCCCGGACCCATGTGCTCAGGCACGGCAGGTTCGGGAGGGTCATCTTCCTGAGGGACTGGGACGGGTGCCCGAGGACATACGCCAGGTTCTCCGTCAGGTTGATACCCGCCACAAACAGCCCGCCTGAAACAGGAAGGAGAGAGAGGTACACGGTGCTGCAGACAACCCGCCTCACGCTCCGCCAGCCCACCCCCTTCTCCTCCCACTTCTCATTCCCAGAGTTTCAAGTCTCCATGCAGATGACAGTTCCAACGGCAGAGGGAACATACGTGTCAATGTCAGTGCCGTGCTCCTGTCACCCAAGAGTGGGCGGAATCACGTCCCCAGAGACATCCACGTCCCGACCCCCACGTGGTGGATGGAATCACGTCCCCAGACACGTCCACGTCCCGACCCCCACGTGGTGGATGGAATCACGTCCCCAGAC